GAAATTCTTCAAGTGTAGTTTGAAGCACATTTTGGTATCCTCCAGGATTAAAGGCACACGTTGTGAGTGTGTCTATCATTAAAAAAAATAATGAAATGCACAGTTTAGTGTAGATAATAGTGGTGCAATTTTCCAAGAGACACTGCATAGAAATGTTAGATGAATGACTCTATCTGCCAAACCTTCTTTGTCTTATTTTAGCACCATTGTGCCTTGAACCTTGATCACATGCAAGGTGAAATCCTCATTTGCACCGCAGAGGAGCAACAGCAGATCTACCCATCCATATGGAGAGGAGGCATTTAGTGTTTCAGAGATGAAGTGGTGTCCTTCAGAGGTGTAATTCTTCACATCATAAAGATTAGGAATATAATGAGATGCTTGGGAAGAAGTAATCCCAGTGAAATGGATTGAGCTGTATGGTTTGTTCTGGATTTGTTTGTAGGATCTCCCTATCAACTCTGCTGTGTGGAGGGAAAAAAAAAAAATAAATCTTCCCCTGTTAAGTCTATTTCTTAACTGTGATTGGTGTTTTGCAGATACAGAGCTGCATCCTTCACAAGGCCCCCACCGAAACAAGCTGTTGACAAAAGCCGAGTGGCTTCAAGACATTTCCTGAGCCACAGGGATGAACTGTGACTGTGAGCCCCAAGACCCAGACTCACTCTTCCAGAGATGTTTTCTGGCTGTAACCACCACTGTTGATAACCAATCTGAGGCCAATCTGAAGCTGTGCCAGAATTATGTATTTGTGTATGGTTGCTGAGACGTAGTGTATTTTGAGTTGCACATACCAGCTACTGCTGTTTGTCATTTTTGTGGAAATTGTTGTCTTTACCCTGTGCGATTCCAAAGAGATAACACAGTTGTCAAGCAGAGCAGAATTTGGCACACCATGTTGGCCCAGCTTTATTTTAAGATTTCCCTGCGTGCCATCTCAATGTGGTGTCTTCGTGTTGTGAATATGGTTGTCTTTAGCCAAATGTGATTGTTCAGTGCACAAACCTGTGAACGCAGTACCTCAATAAAATCTGGCATTTGTTTGTGTTGCATTTTAATTAATTTATCATTTCCCCCCACCTTTGTTTCCTCAGAAGATTCTCACAGATCTTAAAATTACTTTGATGGGAGAATTTGCCAATCAAGTGAAGTTACTAAAAAGTGAATTTTTATAAGGAAGTTTTCATTTAGCTGTTTTCATAGGAAAGAGTAAACACTGAAATTAATTGAAATAAACATCCACAAATGTTTTGCAGATTCCACAACAAAATATGTTGGATTATTTATTTTGAAGCAAGCTTTAAAAATTTTCCAGTAGTGCTGCAGGTTGGAACGCTGATTTGTCAAGTGTTGAACTTCCTTCAGGTAACCAAAGAGCTCTGATCACATATTTTATTTCCCTAGAAGTCTTAGGAACAACCAGCATAGTCTTAATAACTGTCATATTTGGGCTTTCCAGTCTTTCAAGCTTTCAGGCTCCAAATCGTGGACATTAATGATAATGATTTCTTTTTATCTTGTGAGAGTTCTTTAAGATCAGTCATCAAAAGAATTTGAAAAATACTTTAATTCAAAAATACAAACCATACTGTTTACATGAAGGCAGTAGACAGATTATATTTTCCATTTGCAGATGAAGTCTGAAATATTTGTCATGTCAGTTTTGTCTCTGGTTATACTTCATCTTTTTAAGAGCAGATCCTTGTCCGCTGTTTGGGAGTGACATCTTTCTGGGTGATAGTACTTGAAATTCAAAAAAACCCTGAGTGTTTGCAGTCTAAGCTACTTTTAAGTCACATTTCTTGTGTGAAATAATACAGAAAAATCTCTGAAAGAAATAGGGAATGTGGTATATAACTTTTTGCATATACAGTCTCACTAGACTGGAATTTGCTACTCTGGACTTGTAGAGAATTAAAACCACATTGAATGCATGAAGAAAATATTTTCCTAACAGTAGAGCATAAACCTGATCTTCCACCTTCATGACTTTCTTGATTGGAACTGTCAAAGAGCAAAAGGGAAAAAGATTTATGTTTTTTGCCACCTGCTTTCCTTTGAGGATCCCAGCTCTGAGACGCATGTGCTGGAAGCAGATGCTTCATTTTAAACCACTGATAAAAGACTTAAAGAACATGAAAAGAAGAGGATTTAAGTTATTTCAACTTCATACAAACTTGAACCACCACTTCTGTAATTTTTAAATTTTAAAGTAATAGAAGGTACTATATTCTATTCTGTTTTGAATGTTGCAGATAAAAATATCTTAGAAGTTGCCCAAGAGATGAAAATCAAAAGTGTTTGGTTCCTCAGGTGAGGAGGTTGTTTTCCCCTCAAATGTTGGGATTTTTTTATTCATTTTGAGTATCAAGTGTTTGGTTCCTCAGGTGAGGAGGTTGTTTTCCCCTCAAATGTTGGGATTTTTTATTCATTTTGAGTATCTTGAGATGCCAAAGTAGCAGAAGGAGAGTAAAAGCAGAATGCAAAAAAAACGTTTCCAGTTCTTTGCCTACGTCCAGTCCCTGTTTGTGTTTTCTGGTGCTGAGTTAGGACAGTCCATTTCTTTGCCCTTTTAACGAGTTCTGTTGTAATTGAGGGTTTGTAAATGTCACAGAAGAGTACCTCCCACGCTGGTTTGATTAGGGGACTGGATCCGCTGCCCGTAGCAGCTTTCAAACGTAATGTACTGTTGCAACAAGGGTGGCTCCCTGTGCTTAATAGACATAATAAGGTTTAATGTACTTGTTAGGCATAGCCCTGATTTTTGCCCTGGGAACATTTTAAGCTTAAGGTGTTTAAATGACCACAGTAAAACAAAGTCAGGGCAGTTCTGCTGCCATCAGCCATACAGAAGCTAGTAAAACTTGCAGGAGTTGCTATGAGCATTTTTAATTGCTTTTCAAAGTTGAGGAATTTTTCTAATCGTAAGGGCAAAGTAAAAATGGGAGAAGTGTGTAACTGTATGCAATAGGCCTCACGGGCTGTGGGATACAGAATTCTCTGTACGTTCAGAGATACCAGCAGAGCAGCATGAGCAGCAGCCTGTGATGGGCTTCACTGGGACCAGCCTGGCTGGGTCCCACTGGTAGTTCTGGGACTGACTGCACCTTTTTTTGGAGTCACACTAGCAAGAAGTGGCAGCTCACTCCAAAGTGACCTACCTTTCTCATCCCTGCCATTCTCTAGGAATTTCAGTAATAATAACTGGCAATTGTATTAATAACTACACATGGAACCTTTAATCTGACTTTGGGTCTAAGTAGAAAATAGCAAATCAATGGTCCTACCGTATCAATCAAGTACTTAATGACTTTTGTAGTCAATTACCTTATTTAAGTGTAATTTCTGAAAGCTTTGGCCTTTGCAATTTCTAAATTATGGAAGAACGAAAAATTTACTGAATGAAAATAATGTCTGTTAATTGTTTTCCTAACATGACAAATGCGAGAGATCCTCAAGATTGTTCCGTCCTTCAAGTTTTGGAAAACATGAGGCAGGAAAAGTATAAAGATTCAGCTGCTTCCTAGCAATACAAATGAGAAACTTTTAATTTTTCATCTGTTAGCCTGAAGCTCACAGCAATCCTGTTTCTCTTAATTTGAGGTAAGGAATTTAATATTTTGTCGAATAGATAAAGAAGTGGTTATGGCTGTAAGGTCAGAGGAGTGGTCAATTAATAGGTATCTATGGAAGATCTACTTGTTCTTTTCTTAGCCATTTGTTTAGAAGTTTACAAAAAAATACAAATAGGCTTCATATTTTAACAGATATTGAATAGTTGGATAAAGATCCATTAATACATGGCATTAAAAGCAGAGGCTGAGAGAATTCTGCTGGAGAATTCTGCTTAGTTCCCACCCATATGAAGCTATTTTCTGGTTCAAAAAAATCGATCTCTGCTACACTGAGAAATTGGAAAAAAATTGAAAATCTGATCTGAACAACCTTCAACACCAGGATCTGCCTGAGCTCCCAACCACCATTTATTTCTGGAGTAGATCTTTGGAAAGAGTATGCTGGTTTCTAGTGTTCATCACGATTATTGCACTTAACCTTCCCTTTTCTGTCATTGTGTTCCTTTGTGACTGCAAGAGTATGGTCTCCAGGTAGAGATAATTGATTCATATGTATGTGTGTGTGTCTATATAGCACATTTGTATAAAATGCCTTTGTATGGGAAGAATCTATCAGTGTATCTGTGAGTCTGTAACTCTCTGACCAAGATACTAAAATTTACGTTTTAGTTACGTTATACACTTGCTACTTAACAACATCTTCCTAGTCTTCTCCATTATTCCTATGCTTCTTCCAATCTGCATCCTCTAGAACAACCGTTGAAGAGCCTTGCTTTATGTACACAACAGTACATAAGAGAACACAAAGCATTAAAAAAACTGTTGAAGAGCCTTTCTTTATATACAGGCGAGTACGTTTGGATGGCTACAGCAACACAAGAAGTGTTGAAATTGATAAGTGGAAACAGTGTAAGTACAAAGAGCTGCATATAAGCACCTTTTTTGCAGCTGATGTTTCAGGATACTCTACCTGAAGGGTGTCTTATGAAACCACAGCTTCCCTTTCCCCCTTGCTAAAAAGAAGCTGGTGGCAATAGGAGGGATGTGTGGGACTATTTTCGATGGTAAGGACCATGATTTTTTTCTCTGCTCTGTCAGCTGTGCTGAGCATTACACCAGCTGGGTCAAGTAGCGTCGCTTAGGAGTTTCCGGAGAAATTGGGTGGTTCAGGCTTTTTTTTGGCTGTGGATGGACTTCTGCACAGGGGCGTGGAGGTGTTGATGGGCCTCCTGAGCCATCATTCAGGCATAGTCTGTGTCAATTCTATAAGGGTCTGCAGAAGCAAGACCCAGGGTTTGCCCCTAGAATGAGAGGGAAGCAGCAGGAGAGAGCAGACAGTGGGCTGGTGAACATCTTGTGTTGTCAATTCTCATCTTTACTGTGATAATCTGGATTCCACAGATAACATTTTTCAATAACACAGTCCTTTGCCATTATCTCTGCTTCTGTGTTCTCCCTCTTCTTCCAGACTGTGTAGCAGATGGAAACCCTTCAGATGTTCATGTAGGGTCAAGAGAATATCAAAGTGGCTCTGCAGACGATGACTTTCAAATAGCCATGGGACTGGACTCCACCTGGGAAACCAGAAAAACCTTGTGGAGACCAGGCCCCAGGTCAGAACCGTCCCTGCCCAGAGTTGTGACTTACCCCAGGGAGGAGAGCGAGATGTTACTCTTGTTCTTGACGAATGACTACTTGGTTTTGCATACACATATAAGTACCTTTTTCCCTTAATGAATGTGCTGCAAAATGGAATGAGTATTTTTTCCTAAATGCATCAACCACAGAAATTTCAGTAAATGGAGTCTGCTCTTTTTACAATCCTGAATCAAAATGTCAAACCAGCACAACTCAATTATGGGAAAGGAAATAAAGCAACATGCTGAATACCAGCAAGTTATTTATGAAATACTTCAAATTGCCAATGCCATAACTACCTGTGGAAAATGAGAACACACAAGAGCATAAACTCAGCTGTGGGAAAATTGACTCAGAGCAACTTGTTTGCAAAGTTTTAAAATTAAATTTTTCACCCCATCTGAGTTTTATAGACTGGTTGCACCCTTCAGTCTGTTACTGGTTTGGCTAAAAAGATTTTTTAGGTGCAAAGAAATGAGGGGAAGGGAAGAAAGAATCAGAATTCATGCATTTGAATCTTAAAAAAGGTAAAGGGACTTGTTATTTTGTCAATACAATATTGATTTGCATTTTGCTGTTCTTAAAAAAGATCAGTCACCCCAAAATCCTTTCTACAGAGGAGACAATATTGCAGTTGAATAATTTTTCTTTGCATTTTTAAGCAGAGCACCTTATTCCATATTTTGATGAGAGATAAGGTGCAGTGACTCTAATGTCATGGGAGGTTGTACCTGAGTGCTTCATAATTGAATGCAAAGCCAGATATTTCCAGTGAAATAAGTGTCTTTATTTATGACAAAGGCAACAAATTCAGAACCTCTCTACAGCTAATGGGAGACATTAAGTAACTCCAAGAAATACATTTGGCATTAATGCAATACATTGTTTTTCAAAAGTAATAATAACAGTTTGAGCCACAGTTGGGAAATCAATGACTGAAGTTATTTGCTCTAATGACTACATGTACAGATCACCTCTGAGTAATACCGTTCTTCTAAAGGTCAAGTTATTAGATCCTGTAATTTGTGAATATTTTTTATTTTCTCCATTGCTATGGGAAGGCAGGAGCTGGGAAAGCAAAGGTCGTGAGGTCTGGTTAAATCATTTGAAGAGTCGGATAAGGGAGTACGTGTGTCCTACGGACCCTGACCTCTGCACCCAAGGATGAATATACTGAGCCTGAGCAGAGGTAAAACTTGTACAACAGTATTGTGGTAGGACTGTGATTTTAAAGATATCTACTATCATGACATATATCCATATCATGATACTAATCTCATGCTCTATTTGGGACTCTTGATGCGATTTGCCTTGGTCTTGCTGTGCCTGGGATTTCATTCTTTCCTCTTCTCTCCCCAGGGCTGTACTGGTGCCCCATTATGGCACCTCCACCCCAGCAGGAGAAGGGCTGGAGGCAAACAACACATTCCTCCTCTTCCCCATCACATCCCTCTCTCTTCCCTGCAAAGCAGCAGAGCAGAATTGGCTGCCTTATCTGCAGCTGTTGGGTCCCAGCAGAGACATGTGCTCGAAAAAGGAGTGCTCTGTGTTAAAAAGTAATTCTGCAAGACGGAGAAGGTTCCCAGTAAGTGCAGTGTCCCCCTGTGATAAGCTTTGGGGTTTATCATGGGTGATCCCAGCCCTCCAGTGGGACTGCCTAGGAAGAAAGAAACGAAATAAGAATGAAATCTATAGTCCTCTGGATTTCTAGTGACCTCTTCTTCAGACGCTGTAATAGGGCTGCAGAATGTGGGACCAGTGAGACACTTGATACCCACATCATGAAGAATTCAGCCCAGTCCACCTGCCCACCATTCTAAGTCTCAGCCTGACGACCACACACCACGGCCTTTTTAATGACAACAGTCTGAGTCTGAGGGGTGCACAGATGGAAAGGAAGTGCCTGGTTTTGTGCTAGAACTGGTGGAATAGATGTAACCACTGCTGGGAATACCCAGTTCTTATCCCACAGGAGCCAGGCCATGAACTCAGCCCCTAGCAAGATAAGACCCACCCAAACTCCTGTTTTGGCAGCTCTTGAGTTTCAGTCACGTCCTGGCAACATTTTCTCTTTTTGGTTATACAGAGGAAAAATGTCAGAATTCACTCAGTGTGATTTTACAGCAGGCAGAGTTGGTAATATATGGTCTCTAATGTGTGAAGTGATTTCACTTTTCATTGACTAGATGGAGACCTGAGAGCACTCAGCCCTTTCCAGGATAGAGATCTAAAGAGCAGTCAGCAAAAAGTAGCATGCTACCTCCTGCATAGTATTGCCTGTACTTAAGCTGCATTCATGCTGAGAAAATGTGGAGGTAATGCACCTGAGCCAACACATTAGGGGTGTTCCTTTTGTGTAAGAGACAAAAATGGTACGCACAAATTGCGTTTGTCATCTCATTTCTTTCCAGGTAAGAAATCTCAATCTGAGAATGTCCAAACTTCATTCCTAAACTCCCCAGCATATTTAATTGTCTAACATGCAATTTACTTTATCTGATGCAGCGTTAAGTGCTCATAGTGCAGACCAAAGCAGGTCTGTCCCTTAGGGTAGCTGCAAACCTGGGACTGGAAGGAATTGTCACTGTAAACCCAATCCGCTCTCAAAGCTTAACCCTCCACCTATGAGTAGCCAAACTACCCCTTCAGATACAGAAGCCTTTCAGTCTCAGATGTGAATATGAATCCCAAACCCTGCAGCACACTCCCACCTCCAATGGTAAGGCAATAAGTAGAAAGGGTGGACTGTGAGGAAAATAAGTAGCTCTAAACCTTCAAGTGACCAGAAGTCTGAGTGGTGTGACCTGGTGTTTGGCCAACTCAGATACACACAGTGCCTTGGCGGCCTGGAAGCTTGGAGGAAGGAAGATATTTGGAAATGCATCCACTCAGGAATAGCTCATGGAGAGGGGAAACGCTGGCACGTTGTATGTGGGAGATGATCACAGACTATTTTCAGGTGTATTAACTGCATTTTTTGAAGATGGAGCGATCAGATCACTTGGGACAGGGAGGGAGTCTAGGTCACTCATGGGAAAGTAGTGTGAAAGTTTGGATTAATTACTGGCAGCAATTTGGGGTGGGTGAGGGGAGGGAGGTGAAAGGGAAGAAGAAGAGGATGTGGCTGGCATTTGGGGACTGCAGGGGAAATCTAATTCTTACACCCTCTTCCCCTCTGGCTCCACTTCTCATTCATGCCTGGTGATTCATCATTGTCTCTTACTATTCTTCTGTGTAGGGATTAAAGCTCCCAGTCACTATGGAAAATACCTCTTACATAAATGTTATCTGCTTTGTGGAGAAAAAAAACCCCAAAAGATCATAAAGTTTCAGCAAATCTATGCCAGCCTTAATGGTGAGTAACATCCAAGTGATTTCCTTCAAGTTTTGATGAGGTTTTGCATTTGAAGTTTTGGCTCTGACTCTTTACTTTGCTGCTGATTAGCATGTTAATGGGTGGCAGTTGGAGTAAAGATCCCTCAAATACGTCACAACTGGAGAGGTTGTTCCACTTGAGGAAAATAATGTTCCTTGCAGGTTATATTTCATATTTATCAGCTTGGCAACAGTAAGTGTTATGAGGAGCTGAAGAGTCCTCAGTGGTAGCAGAAACATTTCAATAAAGTAATTTTCTAACTTATTCAGAAGACCACAATATCTTAAATAATAAAAAAAGAAGTGATAAGGTGGTTGCACTGAGCAGTCACTCTGTACTCTGTAGTGTTAGACAGGGGATGTGGAATAATACTTTAACTCACCAGATATCTGTTAATTATGAGCCAGCCAAAAATAAAACCATGACAAAACATGATACTTTCTGCAGCTGCTTGCGTGTCATTTTGGAATAGGATGAGGAAGCATAAAATATCCCAGGACAGAGAATAATGAAAGTGCAGAGCTTTGTTTCAGTGATATAATGGGACTAAATTGAATCTGGACATTACACTTGGGGAGTTCAAACACCCATGGAGGGAATTCACTGGCAGATCATTGGGCTGTATCTGAACAGTACTCAGCATCCATTGCTAATCCCACAGAGTAATGTAGAGGAAAAGGAAAATGGAAATAGAGGAGCAGCAAGCGTGAAGAGTAGGAAAGGATGGAGTTAAAAGGACTCTTTCTACAGCAGATAACAGAAGGCATTGGTCTGTCTGGTCATTTACACCAGAGGTAAAGATCCGTAAAATTGGGTTGATACATCCTGTCAAGGACACTGGGCAATAGACAGCCAGGTTCAGCTTTATCATAATCTGCAAAAAATTCTGTGGTTCAGGCTCGTTTGGGACAAAGTTGTGAGGTGCAATGCCAGGGGTACAACATCTGTTTTCTTGCGCTATTTGAAAAGCGCGTAAAGAAGGAAGAAAAGAAGGACCGGGTGAAACAAAAAGATTCTCCTCCCAGGGCTTATTGACCCAGAGGTGATGCAGATGTGCTGTTGTGGCAGGAGGATTCAGCACAGATTGCTTTCATGTTGTCCTTCTGCACCTGCCAAAGCTCCCGCTGCCGTACGCAGCAACGCTTGTGTGACAGTCGCCCTTGTGATTTGCTTTTTAATGGCAGATCAGGCGACAGCATGACACGTTGTCAAGTGTTCCCATCCAAACGTGTGCACACTTCTGAACTTTCTCTAACGTGGCAGCAGAAATGTGAAGAGAAAGATTTTGGGGAAAGTTATTTTCAGCCTTACAGATTTCAAATTCTTCCCTGTTTCTGCCTCAGGAGGGAACAGTGTTTGTGTAGATTTCAAGTCTCACAGCATAAAATGATTCAGGGAAAAGTACTTGGAGTTTTGGCTTCTGGCTCATAGCTCTCCTAACATTTACACTTTTCCAATTTGTTCTTCTCTTTCAGGAACACTATGTTCAGTACCTAAAACTCTGGGGTTTAAGTGGAAAATGTTAGGCTAATCCCTTATAGCTTTCAGAATCTAAGCTCTTCTGAGTTTTTTTAAGGTACATCTTGAAACCGGTTTGGAATGTGAATATTTTAACAAATGTTTGGGAAACACATAGGCTTTCCAGTCTAATGATTAGGAAGAAAATGGTTCCACGGTACTGGTGACACATAACAGCCTTTTATAGAACAAGTTTTTAGGAGGCAGGAAAGCTGCACGTGCTTAAGAAAGGAAGGAACTGGAAGGAAACACCCAGGAGCACACATTTCTCTGGCAGCTAAGGAGCAGACCTAACATATTGTTAAGCATAAATTGGGCCTGAGAATTAGATCAGTGCTTAGCCATTATTTTATGCTAATGAGGAGCATAAGTTTAAAAAGAACAGTGTCTCTTAATAAGGCAAAAATATCATTATAGTAATTGTGTCTTATTTTAGCATAAGGAAATATAGCAGTTACATGGTGCAATTATATTATTGGAAGCAATTTAAGTGTTATCTTATTTCTCTATAGAACATAATTAATACATGTCTAATATACCAAGAATGTTGTTGGATCTTGTACTAATTTAATTTTCAAAACACAAGAACTTTCAGCATAGAAACTGTGAAACCCTAAGTAGCCACTAGCTCCCAGTGCTAGCGGTTGTACAGAATATTGCTTGTTTATATTGAAGTGATAAGTTCTCACCTCGCGGTTTCTGCTGTGACTGCAGTTCCCAGGAGCTCTGAACATCATATTTTGAAGGCTGAGAGTGCCATTAGACAGGCCTGTAAGCGTTTCTCAGACTTCTGCTGTCTATATTGATTCTGTGCCCTTTCCTGCACTTCAGAATCCTTCACTCCTTAAGGTGATGCTGAGCTTCGTGGCTAATGGAAGTGCACGGGCATCTCTCAGCACGGAAAAGGAGCCCCAGCAGCACATGGCAGCTTGGTACAGTGGCTGTGAATGGGGAGTAAAGAGTCATAGAATCACAGAATGGTTAGAGTTGGAAGGGATCTTAAAGATCATCAAGTTCCAACCCCCTGCCCTGGGCAGGGACACCTCCCACCAGACCAGGTTGCTCAAAGCCCCATCCAGCCTGGCCTTGAACCCCTCCAGGGATGGGGCATCCACAGCTTCTCTGGGCAACCTGTTCCAGTGTCTCACCACCCTCACAGAAAAGAATTTCTTTATAGTATCTAATCTAAATCTCCCCTCTTTCAATTTAAAAACATTACCACTTGTCCTATTACTACATTCCCTGATAAAGAGTCCCTCCCCATCTCTCCTGTAGGCCCCCTTTAGCTACTGGAAGACCATTATAAGGTCCCCCTGGAACCTTCTCTTCTCCAAGAAGAAAAAGTACGCACAAGATGCACGTAGCTGGTATGTAACCAGGAACTTAACTGGACAGAGGGTTAGAGATGGTGCAATGAGGGATTCAGGTGAATATAGGCTTTTGTGATATTGCTGCTACAGTAGAAGGAATCTGGCTTTTCCTGTGGATTGCTTCTGTGAGCTGCTTTGAGGGGAAGCAGTTGCTCTTCAGTTGCCCATGGCCCAGAGCTGCAGCTTCCACTTCACGTCTGTTGAGTCCCTTTCTGCTGCATCCCTGGCAGATGATGTCTGTGAAGCTGAACCTCTGGGCAATGATCAATAAGGTGGTCACTAGCAGCAGAGATTAGGCAGAGCTGTGCAGCAGGAGCGAGCTGCCCGTCCCAGGAGAGCAGCAGCAGCAGCAGCAGCACGTTCCCACCAGTCACAGCTTCGCTGCCGAGTGCGACAAGCGGAGAATTGGACCCTCACTGAATATATTCATACATTTTTTTCTTTTCTGTGTACTGGGGCTGAACAAAATACTTATGTCTAGCAGGCAAGCGTCGCATGCCTCAGCCAAATTAATTTCCTCCATTTTCCATTGCATTTTTTTTTCAGTAGCAAAAAGTAATGAGAAATACTTGGCTACTGGTATTTTCAGCTACATCTATCCAGTCTTCCAGAACCGAACAATTTACCTGGATGCTAGAATATGAGAGCAAAAGCCTCCTCACCCGTTAGAGCTCTGAGACCAGCTACACTGGGCTTCTGCTTCCATTGCGAGCTCCTGTAATATCTGTCAAACATCTTTCAAGTCTGTATTTAAACTTCTGGGGACATACACACTTGACTCGCTCTTGGACAATGCTGCGTGACCCTGAGCCTCCCACTCTGCATCCATGATTCAGGAGGACTTTCATCAGGTCCCAGCTGTCAGCAGAAGGGGCCTGATGCTGCCCTCGTATGCGCAGGTGAAAGTTGGCCTTGGTTCTTTCAGAGCCCCTGGTGTGCATGGCTCTAAACAATATCAAAATTAGACCTTGAGTCTTAAATATTGTGATCCTTCTAAATTAGTCATCATTTCTCTGTCTTCTATGCTTTATTTTCTCAAATAACTCTTAGCACGTAGTCAATTACTTGCACTGTTGAGCCAGAATGTCCACTCTGTTGTGCTTGGTGCTACATAGTCCCTTTCTAATATGCCTTTCCTCAGCCCTTACAGCATGTTACAAGAGTAGACAGAGAAAGAACTGTGGGGTTTTTATAAACCCACTGAATTAAGATTTTGGGGTGAGAGGGAAAAAGTACTTCACTTGAATGAAGTACTTTAATACAAAGGAAAAATATTTTGATTACCAATGTTTGATGCATCTACCACTTTGAAGTACCAAAGTGGCATAATTTACATGAAACGTAGAATTACAGTAATAATCTTTTCATTCAGAACTTCCGATTCATCCAAGGACATCTTAAGTACCTCCTCGAAACTCAAAAGCCCTTAGTGATACATGTGAACACAGGGAAGGAGAGGTCCACTGGGACACCTGCACTGTGTAGGTGTTTCACTGCCGTTGACTGTTGACATTAGCACCTAGATGCCTTGAGACACCTTTAGGTGCTTACCTGTAGCCTTCCTGTCTCAAACACTTCTTCTAAAACTCACCTGTATGAGTGAGAAATCAAAGGAAGATAAAGCTCCTCAAAGTAGCTTGAAAAATGGGATGTGAATGCTTTTAAAAAGTACTTTGTTTTTCTGTGCCCCAGTCTCCACATTTCTGAAGAGAAGTGAGTGATCCTGGGTATGCTGTAGAGGTAATGTTTAGTAGTCAAGTACGGTCTGCTCCAAAGTGCTTTGCTCCTGAACCCAGTCATGGTTGCTAAGTGACAACAATCTAATTGTCTCTCATAAATTTGACTGAGGCAAGCATTTAAAAGCATGACAATGAAGTGCTAAGGACAATGCAGCTCTCCTGCTGTCCATATAGCAAACTAGGTTTGGTACTAATCTGTTTTCTGGAGCAGACAAAGGTATTTGTTTGCTGTTCTTCTCCAGTAACTTTATTATTCCCAGGAGTATTATAGAGAATTACATTAATTGCTATGGTAATCATAACAGGAAGCAATTACTTTCAGCAAATAACAATTACTTCACCTTCCCAAATTTATCTGAGACCACACCTGGCCTTAATCCCAGATTTATAACAAACATCTTTCTGGAAACTAAAAAGAATAGGTATTCCTTGCTCTTAGGTGGGGAGATCTTGCAAATCTGCATGCTGCGGTCTTTTCTCCTGCCAAACCCCAAGGACATAAACAGTTACTTAAAAATCTCATTATTTTTGTAAACATTTCATTGTATTGTCAGGGGTGTCTTGTGACTGTTTTTTGTTTGTGATTGGTAACTTGGTGTAGACAAAAATGCAAAATACCGGGATCTGGGAAAGGCTCAATTCCAGGTGAAAACTGGGACCAGCTTGGTTTCACTGGAGATAATGCACTATGTTGCTGTTACATTTGTGTTTAAGGACTTTAAAGAAGGTACCGATGTAAATATAGATTTAGGAGAAAATCTTAGTAGAGAACATTACAGCGCAAAACTGCTGTGTTAATATATGATTCTTACTATGCAAACTGATCAAATACTGCGGCATTAACACCGCTAAAATGTTACAGAATGCCTCTCAGAGACATTAAATGATGTCTAAAGATCAAATTCTTTAGGTTAATACCACGTATAATAGCTTTCCCCTGTGTTCCTTTTGTTTTTTAAGCAAGACTTGTATTTTACCCTGTACTGCTTGATAAACTGCTTTTATTTAATCCACCATGCCTGACCTAGATTGAAAATTTTCCTTGATAAACAATTACAAGGGTGTTGGGCTATTCACAGCAGTATTCTTCAACCTCGCTAATGCTCATTAAACCTGGCTGAATGAGAAATCCCCAAACCACTAATTACTAAGGTGCTGTGATGTTCATATAAGTAAATTGAAAAACATTTTGTCCTTGTTTTTGTACTAGGAAAGATGGATGGCATTTTCAGCTCTGTTTGTGCTCTCCCATGCAAGACCAGCACTGGAAAATACCCAGTGGTACCGCTGGCACGGGATGCTGTCCTCTAGCCAGGACAAAGGTGTAGATGGAGGATCGATAAGAATTGATGCCCTGTTTCTTCTCACTGAGCTTCCACGTTCAGAAGTGTTCTCCAGGGACTCCAGAGAAGTACAACCCATGGCTGGAGGCTGGAGTGGGAGCAGCGGGCTAAGAGAAAATGATGGCCAGCTCCCACCAAGTTTGGCTCACGAAAATTGTCCGTACGTACTTGATAGCCCAGGTTCTGTTTGCCATGACGCAAGTGCATCCCAAATCCAAAAGCTGTATTTCATCCCTGTGGCAACTGTATTTTCTCTGGAGAAAGAGCTCTTACGGTGTTAAATAATGTTGATACTTTTCACTGCTACTTATTTCTAGTACAATGATTTATGGTCCTGGACCTGATAGCCAGACCAAGTACATTCCCTGTGGGTTTGCTGGCTGAGAACATTTGCCAAGCCCTGAACAGCACAACACATAAACAGAGTATTAAGGCCAGATTTGCTTTTAATCTTTGCTTCGCTCTATGTGCCAGCAATTTGGATGGATAATTGACGTTACCTTGATACCTAACGGTCTGCCTACACATTTTTATAAGCAGACATGATCTCACTCTGTGCTTCCATCTCCAAACAATGGGTTAGCAGAGCCCTGGCTCTGTGCTGGTATCTGCATTTGCACAGCTTCAGGACTGTGCTATTATCATGGAATCATAGAATGGTTCAGGTTGGAAGGGACCTTAAAGATCATCGAGTTCCAACCCCCTGCCATGGGCAGGGACACCTCCCACCAGACCAGGCTACTCAAAGCCCCATCCCCTCCAGGGGTTAGGCATCCACAGCTTCTCTGGGCAACCTGTTCCAGTGTCTCACCACCCTCACTGTAAACAATTTCTTCCTAATATCTAGCCTAAATCTCCCCTATTTCAGTTACTGTATTTAAAAGTTACCCTCTTTCAGCGAGCCGTATGGCTCACAGCCCCCACAAACCCTGGGAGAGCTGAGGGGAGAGCTGAGGAGAGAGCTGGAGGAGAGAAAAGAAAGACAGACCAGTCTTCAGGAAGCTGACGTGAGGTTTATAAAACAGACTGTAGCCTACTTCTCCACCAAACCATGTGAATTAAGCACTTTGCTGAATCTCTTGATACACGAATGTAATTAAAAATCTTGCTTAACGTGAATTAATGTGTTTGGAGTCAGAATTCATCTTGCCAGGTGCTTTCTTTAAATGAAATATAACCTAATTACACATACCAATTATCCGAAAAACTGTATCGTAACTCCCTCAGCACAATTCCAAAATATGGAATATATCCTAATTGGGGTTTTGGATGGTACAATGCTGCAAGTTTGGGCACCATGTGATTTTTAAATGATACAAAAAGTGTCTGAACTACCATTGTATGCATGTTGTCTTCCAATACCCATTTTTCAAATAACAGTTCAGTTTTCCAGTTTTGTTTATGTGGCTCGAAGAGTAGAGGACGGAAATAAACAGCTTTTCCAACAAAGCCATGTAATTAAAACCTGACACTCAGCCACTAAATAATTCCTCAGTGGCGAAATGAAAACTGAAGAGTGTTAAGGGATATTAGTGACGTGTTAAGTCATATCTGGCTCCCAAATTAGATACAAACAGAATTAGTTGAGGAAAAAAAAAATGCTTCATTCAAGTCAAATCTTAAAAGATACTGAACTATTAGAGTGAGGTACATTCATGGGGAATGTGAAGGACAGCTGGGAATGTGATTTAATTAATAATACGGATATGTAGATCATGAAAACCAAATTGTTCGACAAAATTGTAGTGATGTGGATTTTTTTTCCTGTTCCTAGACAATTAACGAACAAGATCGTGTCTCCATTTTACCACTGCTAAAAAAAGCTGCCAAAGTCCCATCCTGATATTGCAAGAGAAGGCTTCCATCTGTAATGCCTGGGTACTGCCATTGCCTCATGGACACCCACCACTGACAACGGCTCTCTGGATACCTCCCTGATTACACCCGGCTCCTGGCTCTTGGTACCTAAAGTCTCTAGGTTTCTGGAATTGCTGATCACCGTTGCAGGCTTCATCACCCCAAAGAAATAAAGAACTTGAAGCACAAATGGCAGGTAAGATCCTGTACCTGGTATTGCAGGGCTAGTCAGGCGCTAGACTACTTTATTCCTGAATGTATAAAATTAAGTTTAGTTAACAGGAATTTATGCATCTGCCATATTATGTAAAGGACCATGTGCAGTCTGAGCTGTTGCAAGTTATGCTAAAAATGTGACCATCTTTAATGCCGGGCATAAAATTCCAATTCTCTAGGGAAAGGCCCAAGAAAGTTTACAATGCTGGGTGACTAGTGAGTTACATCCACAGGAACTAACATCTGACTGCCATCCTTCCAGATTACCCAGAATCTTACTGTAAGGAGAAGAAAGCCTATAATTTCAGTAGCTAAACAGTATAAATAATAATAAAGTAAATTATCCTTTGAACAAGCCATCGATCTTCAATGTGTATATGTACATTTTGGGAATATGGGAATTTTAAAAATGCTTACTAAGTGTGTATCAAGACTCCACAAAAGTAATTTCATCTTTATTTTATGCAATGCAAATGTAATTCACTTTTGCTATTCATATTCCCTGTTCAAGTGAATAAAAAATCAGCTTAGACTTTTAAAAATGATAGTATTAGCATGAAGTACAATAAGCATCTTTCTTTTGGCACGATGGGAAAGCTGCAATAACCATTCCTGTAAAGAAAAGACATAAATGCCATTAATCTAAATTACTAGGGAGCAGATGAGGAGGCTGGCCAACAAGTCATTTATTGTTATAAAATAAAAGCATCTTTTTATGCATATGAGCATGGGAGATACTGGGATAGCTAAGATCACGTTAAGAAGCTTAAGAAGCAAGTTCACTATTTCAGTTTCTTTAGCTTTTAATTATTTCATCATGTCCATGTGGTAACCTCATTATACAATCCTGCTCCCAGTCTTTTTGGGAAACCCCCCTCTCACTGCCTTCTTGCTTGTGATGCTGGGCTTGCACCAGTCACAGGACTTAGGCAGCGTGTCCTTCCTCCCACCACAGCCCACTGGTTTCTAGCACCACGTACCTGCTGTGCTCCTCCCTGGTCTCAAAGCACATTTGGCTTTTTTTCACATTAGTAACAAGGTTGGGTAAGATGATAACTAAATGCTTTGCCATGGTTTGTCTCCCAGGAGCTTGCAGAGATCTGGGAGGAGCCTCCTCTCTACGAGAGCTACTCTGACAGTCTGCTGCTCAACCACGTTTGTCCATAGACTTGTTAATTCAGTTTTTTGTAATCATTTTCACCAGTTGGCTTGCTGGAGCTGTCAGCTTCAGTGGTCTTTTAATTCCCTGTATTTCCTCTTGGAATACTTTTAAAATCACGCTGTTTGCCAGGGAGCCAGTAAAACACTTGAGCAGTTTTGGCTGTCACTTCTCTCCAGCAGAGAACAGCCCAGGCACGTATGGGCTCTGTCCCCCTCCCTGTGTGCTCCCCAGCTCCTTTTCCCTGCCTTTAGCTGCAGAGAAGTAAATACAAGCAAGAAAATAAGGTGGAATCATGCGATGTTCTAGGTTAAAAAAAAAAAACCAAACAAACCAAACTAGGCTAATTTTAAGTTTATATTAGCAGAAAAAAACAATCCAACCCAAACCCTTCCCACCAACCCAAACCCTGCTGTACAAGCAAAATAATTGCAAGACAGCAAATAGGTGTAAAAGGCAGTGTCTTTCCCAGCATCAGGTGTGGGCTATATATGGCTTTCCATTATGGATTCCTCTGAGCCTCCTGCAAATTAATTGCAGCTAACAACTACTGCTACAATTAGTCTCTTATTTTTAAAGGACTGGGGGTTTTCTCCTTCCGTGCATAATTGATAGCAATGATGTTAATTGATAGGGCCTCCTTTCAGTTTGTGGTTCTAGTTAAGGACGGCTATGGATTGTTGCATAAATAGAGCACTAGAAAGGAGTAGGGTTTTGTGCTTGTTTCTCTTGCTAAAAGCAGAAGCCAGTCAAGGGAAAAACAGCCCAACACAAGTTTTACACTGGGTGCCTGCAGTGTAGGCTGGTGGAACAGAAGATGTTCTTTCAAACTAGTAATTGAGGAAGGGCAAGGAATAGGCAAATGTAAACTTTTCAGCAGTGTACCATGCATGATTTAGGATTAATTCCAAACTCAGAATTGCCGAATTCTGCCTTACTGCACCCTTGCTAAGGTTAGTTCAATCCAGCAGCTACTTCAGAGTGTTTTTGCTGGAATGAGGTTAAAAAACCACAGTAGTAGATGGCCAGGGAAGACTAACAATGGGCCAATGGGGAAAGGAAGTTTCTTCTTTAATCTTCCTGGCTTTGTCCTGAAAGCAAGAATCTTGCTTATGTTTTGTAAATCCAAGATCTTTTAACAGATACAGCTGCAAAAGGTAGATTTATCTCACCTTGTTTTAACCATCTAAAAATTAGCAGTCTAAGCTGTTTGTCTCACCTTGTTTTAACTATCTAAAAATTAGTTGGTTTCAGCTTTTTTGTCCACACTTCTCCTGTAGCCAGTGGAAATAATAGATGGTAACCAGCACTTAGCAATTCACCTTGGCTCAGGAGAGGTATTTCACCCTGTAGCAACATGTGTTCCTGCCATTTGCTGTTGGAAGGGACCTTGGGGCTCTTTCGGAGCAGAGACCTGCCCTTCAGCTCTTTACAGGCAGGTGAGATGAATCCCAAATGGCAAGACTGTGATATACTTGCCATTAGCAATAGATAAACACTGGAAAGCAAAGAGATGCATAAAGATTTTGTCCATCTCTCACAGTTCCCACAAATATTTATGTAAGATATCAAATGCAGATCAACGCACATTGTGATAAATAAACTGTATTGATCCTACAGCACTGAAATATGTAGAAAAACAAACAAGCAAACATCCTTTGGTACTGATATGAGTAACAGAGGATCCAAAACTACCCACGATGAAAGCTGCTGATAACTTTGCCTCACAATGCTCTCCGTGCTCCTACTGCTCTCTAGCAAAGCCATCAAAGGTTTGCACAGTGCCAGGAGGGAGATGGCTCTGGTCCCTGAGGGCACCTTTAACTGAGAGCAGCAGAGGGAAGGCATTTAACATTTAAACTGCCTGTGGTGTGTGACCAGAGCTGTGGGGTGGCATCACTGCACATTAGAGTATAGCAAAAATCTGTTGTATAAGGAGGTGCATCAGGCTCAGAAAGTCTGAAACTGTAGATGGCTATTTTAGTGGAATATGAAATGTCACGACAAACTTGCTTTTTAAGAATTGTTATTATCCTTTACCTGTGAAGTGTCTCTCCCTATCTGTAAATGTTGTGAACACCTCAGAAGTTCAGGATGCTTACGGAGCGTATTTAACATTTAAACTGCCTGTGGTGTGTGACCAGAGCTGTGGGGTGGCATCACTGCACATTAGAGTATAGCAAAAATCTGTTGTATAAGGAGGTGCATCAGGCTCAGAAAGTCTGAAACTGTAGATGGCTATTTTAGTGGAATATGAAATGTCACGACAAACTTGCTTTTTAAGAATTGTTATTATCCTTTACCTGTGAAGTGTCTCTCCCTATCTGTAAATGTTGTGAACACCTCAGAAGTTCAGGCTGCTTTAAGGAGTAAAAATCTGTTGTATAAGGAGGTGCATCAGGCTCAGAAAGTCTGAAACTGTAGATGGCTATTTTAGTGGAATATGAAATGTCACGACAAACTTGCTTTTTAAGAATTGTTATTATCCTTTACCTGTGAAGTGTCTCTCCCTATCTGTAAATGTTGTGAACACCTCAGAAGTTCAGGATGCTTACGGAGCGGTTCTGAAATGCAAAGAGTGTGTAAAAAGCAATTTAATGGTCTGCTCAAAGAAAGAGCAGTTTGTCTTCTGACAGTCAGATTCTGACCACGTTGACCAGACCTCCCCTGCTAAGACTGCCTTTCAGCAGAACTGGCCTGCTTCACACAGTTTCTTTTAATATCTCTTGTCCGTGGCAAATGGACATTTTATTTTATAAATGCACATTACACTTATTCTTACATACCATCTGCAGTTTTCACTGCTTCTCATTGGTGACTATTACTCTTGAAAAGATCAGCCAATTTAACAGTTAGCATTTGCCACGAATCCTTCCTCCTTTTCCTTTAGGACTCTCCTAAACACAAATGATGAGAACAAGAGACGGTTCCGTATGCTTTATGACAGCTGTCTGTGTCAGCGTTAATTAGATTCCATCAGGTAACCAGATATTCCTAGAGAGAAAATCTTTGTCATTAATAAACACATCTGGCTTGGATTTTGTAGCACACGGTCTGGTAATATGACAGAACAAAAGACTGGTAGCTGACGTGGGCTTTCTTCCCAGCTGGATTTGACTCTTGCATTTAAAATGCATTAGGTGAGTTTGTCTTTTCTGAAGGCTGAATTCTGAGGTGAAGCACAGCCCGTGGGCCAGATCCCCTTAGGGCAGGGACCGGATTCAAATGAGAAGGAGGAGGTCAGCATCCACCATATAAATACAGTTAATGCACCCTTACTTCAACTATCAATTCGTCTTCAATAATTCAGAATTTGAAGCATGCAAATTATTTTCTAAAGCCCCAGAATGAAAATAGATCATGGGTTTAACATAGAGCCTAAGCTAAAACAGGCAGCGCTTCATGAAGAAGTGTAATCGCGTTGCGATGAAATCTGAGCTAATGGAACGGGTTATCGCTGTAAAACCTTACTAGTGTGAAGGGCATGTCTGCTTCTCCTTTGCAGTCCAGCATCTCCTCCTCCCAGATGATGCAATTCCATCATAATCCTAAATCCTGGCACTGTGTAACAGGACAATTGCATGCAGGAGGAAGCGGCGGGGGTGTCAATTTGCGGCAGAGAGCGGTTAACGCAGTGCCACCCAAGGGACTCACTGACAAGCAGACCTGGGAAGGCACCTTGGCTGTTCTCAGCCCTTCTCAACCTTCTCTTCTCCATTGTGAGATAAGAAGGTACATTTTCCATGTAGGGCAGGAGATAAAACAGAAATACAGAGAAAGGAATCAGGTAAGACATCTGTAGCAGATGTGGGGAACAAAAC